ATGAATGCTCACCGAAGAATTCGAGTCAATTTACTCGAGTATTGTTTCCCGGGGACGGAGTGATACTTATAAAATTGCATTGTTTTGGCGAAGCCCGACGCGAACGAAACCTGAGGGTGCCAGCGAGCTTTAAATATACAGCTTCGCGTGAAGCACGATGGAGGGCGGACAGGTGTTCCTTGATAAATTATAAATATTATAACACAAACGAAGTTTACTTAATTTTCTATGGAATATAAAGTCAGCCAACATTAACCTCTGCTTCAAACTGTTAAGGATTGCAGATATTTTAGTTTGCATCAAATTTAGTTTATTTTAACTAAGATCCTCCTCTAAAATTCGCGTCCATTTCGCTAACAGTTTGGGGGTTGAAAATCAACGTCCAACCGATCGTATTATGTCCGTTTGACACTTATATTTTCGAGCGCGTTTTCGGAAATTTCGAGCGATATAAACGACGGAGGCCATACGCGTCCGCGATTGCGACAGAGAAAACCGCACGTGCTTCGCGGTCGGACGCAATTCGTGGACGAGCGACGACCGTGCCGGCGTTTCGCGGTTTTGGTTTACTGCATAATGGCGCGCCCCGCCGCGGCCTGTAACGTTGATTCCTTTATCGGCGACGATATTGCCAATTACCGTATCGCGGGGCTGACCGCGTTTACGCGCGCAGATAGCCTCGTTTAACGCGCCGGAAACGCACTATTAAGGGATTAGACGGGCATGAGAAATTTAAAAAAAAATATCGATCGGCACAAAAGCAGTCGAATTAACTGTAGATAGTATTATCCGTGGGTTATTAAACGTTATGGTACGAAGAATAGGCGCAAAGGTTCATGATTATTGCAGGAAACAAGATGGCCACCGCGTACGTGCCGGAGAAAAATACTCCGTAGAAAATGGAAATAAAAAGTCGGCCATATTACGCAACTCTGCGGACGATTCGAAATTTCATTCTGGCGCGTACCTTTTCCCTGCAAAAATTCACGAACTTTGCCTTTTTTTCGGCCTCCGTGGTGATCTAATAATCCCTCGAGGGGCCATTTCTCCCGGAGGTGTCTAAAAATAAGTTTGGGGGAATTTTTTTTCATCGGTAATTACGGGATGGGACGTTCAGATTTCTCCGGAGAGTACGAACTCTCGACCTCGCTCTCCGATTTTTCCCGAAAGTAAGAAAATGATGGGATTGCAAAAATTGTCTACGCTCTTGCAGCTTCGAGAGGACAGAAAAAAGGGGATAAAATCGAATATTTTGGGGGTGTTTGGCGCGTCTTTCGGCCATAGGCGGCGGAGTCACGTGCGTTCCGACGCGGTTTACCAGCTCGCGTGCCGAACGAGTTGTCGGCTAGTTTGTTGACCGTGACACGGCGCGGATTACGCCGGTACGCCGCAGCAATAACGTCGCGTGGCACTTGTGGAATACGCGGGGCACCGAAAGTCGTACGAGATACAAGACGAGGATCGGAGTCGAGATCGCACGACACACCGACGTGGATGGAACTTGAAACGACGGGCAAGGATGAAAGGGCGAGCCCGCGAAAAAGAAGACAAAAGGAGCCAGAGCGATGCTCTTACCCTGGTTGCTTGACGATCCGACTCGAGCACTGGCTGGGGCCGTTTTCGCGGGTTTTTTTTCCTCGTGAGAAGGGTTGCGAGGAGATCGGCCGCCGAAATAACAGCATAACGTCGTGGCAAGGGTAGACTACCGGCAGACAGCGACTATGGGGGCGGTGACCGCCCGCCAACGCGAATCAATACCCGCAGGAACAGGAACCACCGACGTACCAAGGGAAAGGGAGATGGAACGTCCCGGAGCCACCGGGAGAGAACGAGAGAGGGGAAGGAAAAGCGAGCAGTATCAAGAGGAGCAAGAGGTGGCGGCAGAGGCGGAGAATGACGGGCGGAGAGGAACAAGGGTGGCACCGGGGGTGGTGAAAACGGGCGCGGAGTAAGTGCCGATACCTGTCTGCCGCCCGCGATTCCTTCTGCGAGTGCGCCGTCACTACGCGTTTTTCCTACGGATGGTTAAAAAGCCCCGGACGATCGCGTGGAACATCAAAGGGAGCAAATCACAATGTCTTCGGACGAGAATACCAAGCGGGGGATGAAAATTAGCCTGGCTCTCGATTTTATACCGTCGTTCCAATAGCAATGCTCTTTTCAGGCTCTTGTTCGTGTTTTCAGGATTGGAGATTAGGATGCAGGCTTTGTATAAGATGTTCTATCTTTATCTACGAATGTGCAACAAAGTTCAACACTGTTGTTGCAATCCGAATTTGAACTGATTCTGGCGATCAGGCTATAACTGATGTATCTGCGTCTTTTGAGGTTCTTGTTTATATTTTCACGATTGGAGATTAGACTATGGCGTGCAACAATGATCAAAACTGTTGTTGCAACTCTTCGAGAAACTCGAGATCCTTGGACTAATTCTGGCGGATCAGACTTATATCTGCGTCTTTTGTGCGAATGCATAGTCACTGTTTCCTTGTTTGGCGACTCGAGCAGGCAGAGTGAACGTTGTGTTTTGATATAGGAATGCAAAGCAGGGAATACAAAATTGGATGCTGGGGATCGAAAGAACTCGAATGGCGGTAAATCGATACATGATTTTTGGAACAAAGAGTTCGAATAGGAATGTGAAGAATTTCCTGCGAACTTGGTTAAGACTCTAAGACAACAGAAAACAAAGAAAGACTCTTTCTTGTGACTTGGCAGTAAATTTTATTAGACTTATTTTCTTTCCCCTCGAGCAGTTCAGCTGGTTCTATCTGTATGATAATTCCCATCTAATCCTACATTCAAACGTCGTCGATGGATACGTAGAAACGCATAAAAGAAAATGGCTAGGTCCTCTAGGACTCTCTCGATCCCGGTACCAAAAGATCGTCTCGCAGGAAACGATACGCAAAAACTGAACAAAACCGGGCAGAACAAAGTACCGATTGTCAACTTCGGTCCAGGATCGTTCCAACCAGTTTATTTATCGTTCGGATCCTGTGTGCTGGTTCTAGCTCGAATCGGGCCGGGGTAAAAAGGACGCTGTTAATCTTAAAACCGCGACTAGACGCATAAATGAAGAAGTTCCGAGACGTTAACATTTACGAATGCCCGTAAACGTCTCGTTTCAACCGCGTCCCCCGTAAACTTCGACGTCGGGCTGTAATGGGGCAGTAAATTTCGTCCGCCAGCCCCGTTCGGGGAACACGTTCCCGTTCCAGAGATTGAGTTCAGGGCTCGACGGGGCGACCTTGACGGTAGCCGATAACCGGACAAGTCGCGGACGAGGTGGAATCTCGTCAGACACCCGCGGTCCGCAGTTTTACACACGGATTAACCCCACACGTGCTCAGGTGCCCGTGGCGGAAAACACACGGCGTACTCGCAGACTGGTTTGCCCAGTAACCTCGCGCCGACCAGGAGGATCGAGATATAAGTACGTTCGAAAACGAATGCGAAGAACCGCATTCCTTCCTTCTTTAGACTTTTCTCTTTCTCCCGGGGCTCCGTAGAAAGCGAGAGGAACGTTGGGGGATCGAGACGTCGGCCTCCGCCATCCACCAACCTCTCTCACGACGCAACATCCCGATCCCAGCGCGTCCATCTTCCTTTTCAGCCGGTTACAAACATCGTTTAAATAACAAAACTCAATTTTCTACCAGGAGAAAATTCTGCACCCAAATTGCACGTCTTTTGTCTTCTCTTTAATCGTAATATTCTCAGAAAAATTCACGTGGTGACCATAGTGTTAATGGAGGACACTTTGAATTTGAAGAGGAGTCTCTGACTCGGGATTTTCGATCGCGTCTATAAATTGTTTTACGTTGTTCTACATTATTGCGCACGGGTTTCAGCTTGCGTCATAACGCGCGTACACAGCGACTCCATTCAATCCGTGTTCGTCGACTTGATAAGTACTCTTTGTCTGTTTATTTGAGCCATCTTAAAACGGATGTTCAATCTGGTGTAATTCGGGCTTGTTTGCTCTATGAATTTAAGTTCTGTTCGAAAGCGTCTGGCAAGATACGCGTGCGCTGTTTGTAAAAAAACAAGATTCACGAGCTTATATTTCGAGACAAATCTTATTTCTGCGCTCGACGAAAGTACCGGGTATTAAATCCGTAACATCATCTTGAGGCAGTCGGCTATAGGTCATCGTGATTGGAAAGTGAAACCACCGAATGTATTCAAATTACGAAATCCATACGTAAGCAGTTACGTGTCGCGCGATAGTTTTCGCGCTACACTTTTCGCTCCACTTTTTCGATGGAATTAAATCGAACGAAACACGCCGGAACGTTCCGAATAAAAACCAGTCCGAATGTTAGAAACTTTCTACGAAATTCCACGTCGGCAAATAAAGTGAACGTTAGTTTCGCAATAGTTAAGATGCGTTTGAAAATTCCCTGGAAAATCGCGAGCTCGAAGCAGAGATCGACGGGAAGATCAAGCATCCTCGGGAGGACAGATCGAAGTATCGAGTGGGAATGGTCTGGGTCAAGGTCCTCCGAGTTCAGCATCGGTATACACGAAATACACAAAGGGGTCACGCCGATGGGGAACTGTTTATTCCCTGAAGTGTGCTACGCGCTACATGCCGATATACCGAGTCAGATTACGGGAGAGGAACGGCCGAGGGAGAGATCGATGCGATCCTCGGGGACCAAGACGCTTGTAATCCCATAAAGGATTTTCAACTCGACTTGAGCTCGTGCCAAATGACCGAGTTGCTCCGCTAAACGGAACGGAATTCGCCTACATCCACGAAAAGGAAACCTCCGTTGGATCCCAACAGTCGAAAGTCTCGGGATCCACCGGAGTCGTGAAAACTAACTCGTTTGAAACCTCTGTTGACACTTTGGACAGTAAAACTGAGATTGAAACGACTGAAAGAGAAACTCCGTGAGAAGCTAAAATGGGGTATTCTTGGGGGAGGATTAGACAGAGTGATCCATGGTTTCCTGATGATTAGTAAGAGAGGGCGTTTGGGGGACGCTCACCATAGAAACGACAGGAGGCGGGGGATTTCCGTTTCTAAGGGCCCCGGTTTGCTGGTTCGCCGCGGGATTCAGGTTGTCCTTGGACTGCTGCATGGGATCCGGTTGATGGAGCGTCTGTTGCGTTTGTTGTTGCGCTTGTTGCTGATGCTGCTGCAATCCGCCTATGCCAGCCTGTGGACTGCCTAGGCCTGCAGGTGCGCTGTCCGGCGTGCTGACTTGCCGGGCGATCTTTCGATAGCTCTGCAACAAGAATGTTAATCTCCGATCAGAACGGGGCAACGCTCGTTACCGGGGGGACAATTTGCATACGGCGTGTATACGTTTCCCCCCCGGCGCGATCGTGGGAGCAGTTGCGTAATTTTCGAGCGCGACAGGGCATCATCGATCGGAATGTAAATTACTGGTGGGGAGGTCCCGTCCGCTTCGCGCGGGCCGATAAAACTATAGAAAACGAACGCAGAGACGGTTAACTCGCCGTTAAAGAGGGAATTTACGCGACGACCGCGGTGGATCCCAATTATCCAATAACTTTCATCCTCGAGAGACGACGTCGCGCTGAGGGAACGGGCTGAAGAGGTTGAACGACACTCGGGGGCTGACCGTTCTTGCTCGGTTTGACGGAAGGTGCACCTTCTGGACCGCCCACGCACACGTCGCGCGTTTGCTTTTCGAAACGTAGGAAGGAAGGAAGGAAGGACGGACAGGATGATGGCTGTGGTGTGCGCCACGGTAGCCGGCTGTACGCCGGTGTGACCCTAATGCTAAAAATAACAAGGTGGCCTAAGTAGGCCGAGGCGGCTGAAACGGTTTCCATAGTTCAACAAGCGCCGCTGGCCGAGAGCTATAACCAGACCCCTCTCTCGCCCTGCAGCAAACTTGATCAATTATTAGCAGCGTCCCTCGAGCCACGTTATCACGGAGCCGACGTTAAACGTTGCACGACGCGAATTATCGACGAACTTAACGCTGATCCGTCCGCGTGCACGAGACTCGGCGTCCGATCGACGCTGAACACCGGCCCCACCGGTGAACCGAGACACCAACTAGCGTCGTGTACCGTCATCAAATGGCCGGTGATGTCCGCTATTTTCTTTCCAACGCGAATCGATCGCACGTGAGTCAGGCGACTAGAATTCCTCGACAGACAGATGGACAATTGATCGATGCAAAGGTGCCTACTCCGTGTCTCGCCAGAAAGCCTCGTTACGCTTTTAACTCTGAATCGGTTCTAGATACACACGCTTTCCACGTTCCACCCTTTCAAACTCACCCTTCCACAGGTCAGATTCACCCAATGTGCGACCCCAAAATCTGTCATTTTATTCATAACCACCTGGCACTCAAAACGAGATTGCTAATTTCAGTGTTAGGTATTTCACATCATTCAAGGATGACAGTAACTAATTATTGTTTAATATATGTCAATGCAGTTACTTGAGAATTTATGTAATCCTCCATTAGTTTATTATTTTTGAAATGCTTTAAAGGAAAGTTGATTAAGAAGCTAGAAAAATTAATTCTCAAGTTGAGATGCAAGGTTAGAAAAATACTGGACCAATTTTTAAGTTATACAGTTCACAATGGTCTGAAATAAAAGGTTTTGAAAGAAACCAGATTTTAAGGTTCCCAAGTCTCGATTTATCCTATCACAATACGTCGATCGTTAACATTGTGTTTCCCAATTGCTGGGATTTAGTGAATAGGAAGGCTGTTTTGTATATCGATTCAGGAAATGGACATTTTACGCGTTACAGGCAAACGGTAGAACTGAACATTTCCTCCTCGAAATTACGCGGTCGCAGTCTAGTTTGGAAAGTTGCAGCGTACGATCGATCGCGTTCGGGGGAAAGAGTTTTGTAATCCGATCGACGACGATGCTACAGAATATTACTGATTGTATCGGGCCGTGTATTTATTGGGCACGCCGTGTGCTGTAAATTTATGCAACGGAATTCAATTTACATTTATGACGCTACGATCGCGTCGCGGTTGGTGCAACCCGCCGCCAACCAGGAATAAACAACCGGGTCTTTATAATCTCGGAGATCATTACTCGTCAACGAGGGAAACGGTACTCGATGATCCCGCGGAAGTAATTCGCACCTATCGAACTCTAACGGCGTCGGGAACTCGTCAATTACTAGGTCGTCCCATAAATAGCATCGTTTCTTAACGACAACTACGATTATAAAATAACATTGGATCGTTCTATAAATCCGTGAACGTTTCGATTCGGTTTATAGAAATTTTAATCTCGAGGATCAGCCACGACTCTTAATCGTCTCGAAGTCAATCATCCATGGACATTTACAGAAACTGGGAATGGTGCCAAAGCTGGTAATTTTAAATAAAGTACACCAAAATAGTCTAGTAAACTTTAAAGTGGCACAACTCTTGGCTTAAGGCACCGGTACTCAATATCTTTTCCGTTGCATTGTTTAGATCTACGGATGAAAAAGCAACGATTCGGTAATTAAATCTCGACACAGAGATGATATACAGAGACTGAGCGTTCCTTTTGTAGGGATTGTTAGGGTGTTTTGGAGTAGGGGCGAGGATAATGGGGACCGTGCAGGGCTTCATGAATCAGAATTGGACAAAGGTGGGTATCGGGGATAGGTCGACGCGGGATGAAAAGTTAGGGTTGGCCCACATAGCGACTCGGAGGACGATACCTGGAGACGCTGACGGGTTCAAAATCGTCGTGTCACTTCTCGATTCTTCGACGGTGGTCCGACCAGACAATCGCGAGTAAACAGAGTTTCTCGTATGAACCCTCACGAGAGGAGGGGACCAGAAATAGACACGCGCTATTTTAACGTATCGTGGCTTAAATCGTAGTCCCGTCGAGCCGTTCAAGAAATACATTCCGAGTGTAACTGGCCCAGCAATCTTTTTTACTTTTCTTTTCAAACTGCTCATCCACCTTCGACTCTACGCGTGACTAAGGCTGAGTCACCAGAGATTCGCCAATTTTAGACGGATAAAGTAACTCTGTAAAGTAACTATTTACATAAACGACCATTTTGCGTTTGTCGTTGCGTGTACGACTTCGGTGGAAGTAGAATCAGAGTGTACTGGACAGACATACCTACACGATATTACCAACGCTTCGATGGAAGTAGAATCAGTGTGTACTGGACAGACATAACCTGCCTATACGATGTTACCAAGCTTAGAAAGTTCGAAAATGTATCCAATTATTGATACAAAGGTTAAGGACGTGTCAGAGTGCCGCGTCACGCTGCGGTCTAAGCCACGGCCATCTTGTTCGCGCTCGTCCGACGTCCACGAAAAAATTCAGTTCCAAAGTGTGTCGCGTGTTTTATCAGCCGGGGAAAAATTCATTTCGTTCGGGCTTGTAGTTCCGGCAGAAAAAATTTGCGAAAAAAGTCTGCGCTGTCAAGGTAACCCCTTAAAGCTCGAGCGTCGTCGTCGTTCTCCGTCGGATAACAGGAGGAATCGACCCGCGACAGCCTTGCGGAACGATCTGAAGTTACCTGACGGCGTTATCGAGGCGTGTCGACTTACGACACGCTTCAATTTTCCGTGTACGGCCGTCGACGGTACCTTGCAACGTCGCGCGGAGAGAATCGGCGTGTTACGCAGCCGCGTATCACGTGCGTGTGCATACGCGGCACGTTTATAAATAGACAAGGTCTCGGGCCCACGCTAAGCCCACAGGGGAGAATGCGTTTGCTTACCGAACGTCTCGTTACCCGCTGAGATATTTTACTCAGACCCGACCGTGGGCGCGACGTGTGCTCTCACGAGATCACAGATCTCTCGCCAGCAGCAACACGTGCTACCGAGGCTTCTGCCTCTCGACGAGGTCCGCCATCATGCCTGCAAACCGCTCCGAACGGGACAGAAACATGACTTGCACGCCGGAGAAACCGAAACTCTCGTACTTAACAAACTATCGCGTGGAAAACTTAGCCTCGCGTAACGATTCCGCTACAAATTGCTCCTGGAGCTTCAGGGGTGGAAAAATTTATGTTTTTCTAGTTCATTTCCTTCGAAGATGTGTGTGCAAAAGCACTTACTCGAATTCGTAAAAGTAACGAAGTTAGAGCATGTTTGCTACTCTCTGTCTTCAAACCTCATTTTTTGTTCTGGGTTATATTATGATATCTCAGGATCTAGTACATGGATTGACTTTAAATTTGGTAGAAACCATCGAGGTTATGAAAGAAACCAGTAAAAATAAGTCCTGTTGCCTGACCATAACAAAGTTCCACCTTAATTTTAGCAAACACCTAAAAATCACGAGGCTATCAATTATGATCGGTCTGTTAGAGTATCGGGTTGCTGGCGTCGATTGCGCAGCGGTGCATACTGGGACGATAGATCCTTTGTCCGAGGAGACAGGTCGACATGCACGGCTTGATCGTTATTGACGGAGGACCAATTGAGGATTTTTTTTGCGGTGGATCGTGGGATTCGAGGAAGCTGACAGAAGGGAGGTCCAAAGAGGCAGATTTCGGGCTCGTTCGTCGGGGATCCTCGATATTAGGACCAAGGATTTATTCGAGGGAAGCGGTGAATATAACCTGGGCGAAGGAAGCGACGGAAATAGTACGGCTGACGTCTCCAGCACAGTTTTCGTCAGTCGATACTCCCACCGGTTCTCGTTTAGACTCTGAATCCTTCAAGTAGGTCGTTGGTCTTAACACCGAGCGGCCATATGTCGAAGCGCCTGCTAAGTAAGTCTTACGAATGAGTTCAGCCACAGTGGAACCTGGACTTTCTCTTTTCCTTTCGTTCTTTGTTTTTCTAACATTTAAGTTTGCCGTAACGGGCGACTGGGCGAGCCCTTGACGAGTGCACGAGCTGCACTGATACTCTTCGGGACCATTTTGTGAAATAAACGTGGAAATTGGTGAGAATTATTTATCGGTAGCATCTTACAGGTGATAGTGAAGTAAGTCTCACGTCCTATAACTTGACGCTAAGTGACACGTGTCTAGATAAATTAAATTGAATCGTGTGAATTAATAATATACGGTGGCGAGATAGGCCAAGAATCAGACTCGGATCAGACCGTTGTAAAAGCTAGAATTTAGACGAGACTATGTGGAACGGAAGCAATCACCTAAATACTACTGTGATTCTTTCGGTCGATATGGAGCTCGAGACACTGTTTGTATAGAAAATTGAAATTCTGTCGTTGGTTATCCAACGTGGCGGCGTTCGAGGAGCGATACGAGTTATCAGAGGAAACGGAACTCCATCGTAAT